ACAACCCACTAGTCACTCACCACACACTAGAACCCCATCTCAATGCTTCTTTGTCCTCTGTGCCCCACATCCACTCCATGAGCATGTCCTGCCAACCGGATCTCTGTAACAGATCGTATGTCCACCATCTCTCTTTCGCCTAGATCTCACCTCACCTCCTAACTGGTCTTTCCACTTTTCCTCTTGCTATTGCGTCTTTGTTCATTCTCAATAGAATAGACACAGTGATCTTTGAAACCTTGTTAACACCATGTCAAATACCTGCTTAAAAATTTCCATTCTATTAACACACATAAAATAAAAATGTGGCGCTGTAGGATCAGCACTGGACTGTGAACCACAAGGTTGGCAGTTCAAACTCACCAGCAGTTGCTGCTAGGAAACCCTACACAGGGTCGCTATGGGTCAGAACTGAGTTGACGGCACTTAACAACAAAACAACCCTGGCTTAAGAACCGTGGTGGTTAAACGCTTAGCTGTTAACCCAATGGTTGGTGGTTCCAACCTACCCAGTAGTACTGCAGGAAAAAGACTGGCAATCTGCACCTGTCAAGACTACAGAAAATCCTATATGGGGCAGATTGACTTTGTCACACAGTGCTGCTAAGAGTCAAAATGACTGGCTAGCACCTGGAAACAACACCCAGGCTTACCAAACTTTGTGTGATCTGTCCTCTCCTGTGGCACTCTGCCTGGCTCACTGTATCAGCCACGCTGGGATTTGAATGTTTGTTTTTCAAACATTCCAATGTCAATTTGCCTTAGGAGCCTGAAACAGGCTGTTTCCTTTGCCTCAAAGAACTTCCCACGATCCTCTCACATCTGCTCTTTTTTGCTGTTTAAATTTCAGTTTAGGAATAACTTTATTACAGCTGTTTCTCTTGATCACTGAAAGAGTCCACTCAGTGATTATCCAGTACACTGTCCTATTTCAGTTCTCTGCAGAGCATTTACGACTTTATTTTATTATTTATTGTTATCTCTCTCCCCAGCTAGAATCTAAATCCCAGAAGTGAGCTCCTTGTTTAGTGTTATATTCTCCTCAGGGCTTAAAAAGTGTTTGGCACTAAACTGAGTTAACCCAACCCAATTCAGTTCTCTTTTTTTCACACCATCCTACTTAACCACAAAGGAGCTCTGGTAGCATAGTGGTTACGAATCAGGCTGTGAACCACAAGGTCAGCAGTTTGAAACTACCAGCTGTTCTGTGGGAGAAAGATGAGGCTTTCTGCTCCTGTAAAGATTTACAACCTTGGAAACCCTGTACAGGGTCGCTATGAGTCGGAACTGACTCCACGACACATAACAACAACAAACTTAACCACAGGGTTAGTAGTTCAAATCCATCAGTGTGTCCTTGGAAACCCTATACAGGGGTCACTGAGTCAGAACTGAATCGACAGCAATTAACAACAACAAAAAATGTAGTACTTCTTCCTCTGACCCCAACTACCAGCTAGGTCAGAACTCAGCAATCCTCCAGACTGCCACATTTGTCCAAGATTTCAGACACCAGCCAGAGTTTGTGACCCCCATGCCACTCTCACTTTTGACTTGCTGGCTACAAATTTCCCTCTACCTTTTCACCTCTTTTCCCCAACTCTAGGACAGCAGTTGTAAACTCTTGGAGATGTCCTTGTGGTTTAGCATCTCTCTTCCCCTACCTATGCTCTGCTCCCTTGTTTAATCACTTTTGTATCTCCAAAGATACATTCTATGCTAATCCGGTCTCGTTAACATAACAAGACAACTCCTTGCCACATGGATTTGTAACTATAAGCATGGAGGCTACGATTTGTAACACAGTGTTCTTGGGGACATAATTCAATCCATATCAGTACATGTGGTCTGGAGCTGTAAGTAAATTCCAAAATTTTCAAGGCTATCTCTCAAAAAGAAAGACAAAGAACAAATTCTTTGGGTAAAATTAATTGTATATCTTACAGGCACATAACCAAACTAAACCACTATTCTGTCTCATAGTGACATGACAGGACAGAGCAGAATTGCCCCATAGGTTTTCCTAAACTGTAATCTTTCTAGGAACAGATTGCCAGATGTTTTTCCCCTGTGGAGCTGTTGGCTAGTTAGAACTGCACTTATCCCTGCACTACCCAGGGATCTACCAGAGGCACATGTTATGTGCCGTGGAGTCGGTTCCGACTCATAGCGACCCTGTACAGGGTTTCCAAGGCAGTAAATCTTTACGGGAGCAGAAAGCCTCATCTTTCTCCCGCATAACAGCTGGTAGTTTCGAACTGCTGACCCTGAGGCTCGCAGCCCGATTCGTAACCACTACGCTACCAGAGCTCCTTTGATGCTAAAAAATATTTGTTATCTGTTGACTAAATGAACTCATTGAATAATATTAACAGTTAAAAGTATAGTGACAACTATTTTCTAAAATATAAAAGGAAATTTGTTACTATATATTCCTGAGTATTTCTGTGTACATCTCCCCACCCTACCCCTCAAAACACACACACACACACACACACACACACACATACACACATAAAAAAACACAACAAAGGGATGGAAGCAAATACTGTTGAATGATGATGGACGGAGGAGATTGTAATCACTGCAATGAAACAATGGTATAAGCCGATGTTCTCCCATGTAAACTATCACTGAGTTCACAATTAAAAAAAATATATAACTTTTTTTTTAAAAAAGAAAAGGAAATTTGAGAGCTTTTGAAATTTTGATACCTTTTGAAAGAGTTCGTGCTGTAGGATAAGCACTCAACTATAAGGTACCCGGTTTAAACCACAAGGTCAGTGGTACAAAATCACCAGCCACTCCTCGGAAACCCAACACAGGGTCACTGTGAGTTGGAACCAACTGAACAGCACTTAACAGCAACAGAAAAAAAGGTGGTATTCTTTCACCATACTTATTCAATATCTGTAAGGTCGACAGTTCAACCTCACCAGCCGCTGCATGGAAAACTTATACAGGGTCACTATGGGTTGGAACCGACTTGACGGCATTTACAACAATGCTGAGCAAATAATCTGAGTTGTTGGATTACATGAAGAAAAACATGGCATCAGGATTGAAGGGAGACTCATTAACAACCTGTGATATGCAGATGATACAACTTTGTCTGCTGAATGCATTGGACTTAAAATGATAAAAATTTAATGATGAAAATCAAAGATCACAGCCTTCAGTATGGGCTGCACCTCAATGTAAAGAAAACAAAAATCCTCACAACTGGACCAATGAATAACTTCAAGATAAATGGAGAAAAGATTAAAGTTATCAAAGACTCCATTTTGCTCAGCTCAACCATCAACACTCATGGAATCAGCAGTCAAGAAATAAATGATGTATTGCATTAGGCAAATCTGCGGCACTAGATTTTGTTAAAGTGTTGAAGAGCAAAGATGTCTGTTTGAGGATTAAGGTGTGCCTGACTCAAACCATGGCTTTTTCAGTAACCTCGTATGCATGTGAAAGTTGGACACTGAATAAGGGAGACTGTAGAAGAATTGATGCAACTGAGTTATGGTGTTAGAAGAGAATATTAAAAGTACCATGCACTGTCAAAAGAACAAACAAGGCTGTGTTGGGAGAAGTACACCCAGAATGCTCCCTGGGAGGCAGGAGGGCCAGACTTCAGACTTCCTCTCTCATACTTCAGACATATTATGAGGAGGGACCAGTCCCTGGAAAAGGACATCATACTTGGTAAAGTGGAGGGCCAGCGAAGAAAGAGATGACCGGAACAATGGCAACAGCAATGGATTTAAGAGTAGCAATAATTGTGAGGTTGGCGCAGGACCAGACAGTGTTTCATTCTGTTATACATAGGGTTGCTAAGAGTCAGCACCGACTTGATGGCACTTAACAACAACATAAAAAATTAACTTGAAGAATAGCGATATATTGCAAAACACCACGTAATGTAGAGGAACTTGGAGGGCACTATGCTAAGTGAAATTAGTCACCAAGGGACAGATAGTGTATGAGACCACAACTGTAAAATATCAAGACAAGGTTTTTGTTCTAAAAGAAACAATCTATGATGATTACCAGAGGAGGCAGGGAAGGGAGAATTATTCACTGGCTAGGGTGTAGACACGTGCGTTGCCAGGAAGGCAGTGAAAAGGAACAAATTGCTTTCTTAAACTTTTTTTTTTTAATCCCTGCAAGTATTTATTTTCTCATTAGGGCAAACCACTGGGAAATTTCCTGCAAAAGAAAATGGGGGTGGGAGTGGGAGGGAGATAGAAAATGGGAAGAGAGAGAGTAAAAAAAGATTTGGAAGTTGATAGCGGTGATGGTTGTACACCATGGGGTTGTGTGTGGCTGGTGTGGTTGGATTGTACATGTAAAAAGGACTGAAATGGCAAATGTTTTGTTGTACATATTTAAAAAAAATGTAATTAACAAGTCAAAATCTCACTAAGACATATCCAAATATATAAAAATTTATATATCTTTAGCTATAATATGTAAGCTCCATGAGCATGGAAACTGTAGCTTCAGGGCCCAGCACTGAATCCCATGCATGGTAGATGATCAGTAAGTATTTGACCTTCCAGGTCTACACAATAAAATCCATCGAGTTTGATTTCAAATATGACTATAAAATAATTGCTACTTAATAGCAAACATACTAGAGTTTTACATACTCACATACGCCTCACCCCTTTCAAAACAGTCATTCTGGAAAACCATACACTTATTCCAGCGTTGCCACCACTGTTCTAAAAAGCTGTTTTGAAAATGTTTTCACAAAAGGTCTGTATGCCTCTTTCCCTTATGAAGGTAAAAATAAAATCGAAACACAAGAAAGTATGGTATCATTTAGGAAAAAAACAAACAACTGGTTCAATAAAAGGAATTTTAAATCATGCTATTTTCTGGCATGCCTCTTTATTCGTGACCTCTTTTGAAAATATTATTTTGACTTGCAGAAAGTTTTTCACATGAACTATATCCTTAAATAATTCTAATCACAAAAGAAAAAGTAACATTTTGATTACCTCTAATTACCCTGTAACTCATAAGTCCTTTGGCTGGTTTTAATGGGCAGGCATCCTCACTGGGACAGAAAAACAGGTAACAGTTGGGTTGTCTACTTATTTTTCGAGTGTCGAAGATCACCAAGTTACATGCTTTGTCCCCTGCAAAGAAAGGTTTCTGTGCATTATTTTGAAATATTATTTTCTAAAGAGTATAGCAAGCAGGAGGAACTTTAATCTGGTGTCCAACACAAATACTTTGTTCACTTGACTGCTGATTGCTGAATCATTTCCTTTTCCTTTACTTAATCACTTAAAGCAATTTTTTTATAGACTGGGTTTTAACATCTGAATGAAGGTAAATAATCTTTGGCAAAGCCAATTTTTAATAGTACATTTAATGCTTTAAAACTACATCTTCCATTTGCTGAAAAAGCCATAAAACTATACATAGAAATATATAATACCTTTTAGTTCTTAAACAGTGACTTTCACCATATTGATTTCTTTTATCTCTTGTCTCCTGAAGGCTTCTCAGATGCTGATAAATAAGTATGGCTTTCTAGGGTTGTTATTGTTGTTAAGTACTGTGGAGTAGGTTCCGACTCACAGTGACCCTGCACAGGGTTTCCAAGGCTGCAAATTTTTACCGGAGCAGAAAGTCTCACCTTTCTCCTGCGGAATGGCTGGTAGTTTTGAACTGCCAACCTTGAGGTTAGCAACCCGATTCGTAACCACTACGCTACCTCAATCCATAAAAGATCTTGTTAGTGTATGGAAGAACACGTTTATCTTTTCATTTTTATCAGCACTATTCTTTTGCTTCTTCTTTCCCATTTCTCCCCTCCCTCTTACCATCTTTGCTTTTGTATTTCCCTTCTTAACTTTTCACTCTTAACTTTCTTCTGGCTTCTTTCTCTCTCCCATCCAGTAAAAATTATTCTCTCTACTCATCGGGGTTTAAAATTGGCTTTCGCTTCACTGTGGCACATAGTTATCACATCTCGGCTTGCAGTCCTTGAACTAAAATAGGGATCAGTATATCGTGGTAAAGGAGCTCTGGTAGCGTAGTGGTTACGAATTGGGCTGCGAACCTTAAGGTCAGCGGTT